CGACACAAACAGTTTCCTTTTGAAAGCCATCTCACATATGCATGTAGGAGCAAGCTTTCGAAATCTTCATCATTTTCACGGCAAAGTTCTCGGAACAAACGGTCATTGAGAGAATTAGCTTTGATTTTATTGATGCCAGAAATAACGAATTGTAAAGTGTCATGCAGGGCACCACTCAACTTTTTTGCAGCCAAATGTTGACGATGAATGACACAATGAATGGTGATGACCTCCGGTACTTTTTTTTAAGGTGCGCTAGAAGCCCAGTATAGCGACCAGACATGGCAGGAGCACCATCTGTTGCCCAAGCACTTACATTTGTAAGGGGAATTTCTTTTTCCACAAAATAGTCTTTGATCAATTTAAAAATCTACGACCATTTTGTATCAGTGATCAAAGTTCTTGTAAACAACATTTCCTCGTTCATCCAATCTCCTTACTCTCATTTATGAATCTCACGTAAGCTAATACAATAGCTTTGTTATCTATCACAGTTGAGTCATCAATCTGCAACGCAAATTTACATTCTCTCATAAATTTGATGAGTTTTGATTCAACGTCTGCGGCCATCTCATCAATAAGCCTGGAAACAGCATCATTGCTCAGAGGTTTTATCTTATTGCTTGATCCCTCACCCAACATGATTTCAACAATTTTTTAGTAGCAGGCAAAATAAGAGTTTACCAATTGTGTGAGGTTTAGAGTTATATAAATGTTTCGTCTATCAATCCGTTTCTCCTATTACATGCCTTTTAAAATCGGAGGGATGGGAATGAGAAGAGAGAGGAACATTTGATGAGAAGAAGGTATGTAAAAGACTATGACTTTCAACAAAAGAAAATTCTTGAAGGTCAAATTTCAGCCAGCGATACCAAAACGTATGACGAAAACGATCCTGAACTTGCATGTTTTTAATTTTTAACTATCGTAATTCTTTATCTACACCAGAACCATAAGCTTCATATATGTTTTCAATTTCGATCTCAAATAGCTTTTGTCATTAATATTATTAGCAATTTTTATCTTTTGAAAACTCATCGCTCCCCGATCGCCCCCCTAAGGATTATCGCCCCCATGAGGAGCTCTACCGCCCCCTTTGGGGCGATCACCCCCAGGTTGGGAACCACTGGTCTATCACATTCCAATGTGGTTCAACTTAATACTTTATGAATGTTGCAAGTTTGAATGATATTATAGTCGATCACGTTCCAATGTGGTTCAACTTGACACTTTATGAATGTTGCAAGTTTGAATGATATTATAGTCTATCACGTTCCAATGAGGTTCAACTTGACACTTTATGAATGTTGCAAGCTGGAATGATATTATAGGGTAACACCTTTCAATGTGGTTCAACTTAACACTTTATGAATGTTACAAGTTTGAATGATATTATAGTCTATCACGTTACTATGTGGTTCAACTTAATACTTTATGAATGTTGCAAGTTTGAATGATAATATAGTTTATCACGTTCCAATGTGGTTCAACTCAATACTTAATGAATGTTGCAAGTTTGAATGATATTATAGACTATCACATTCCAATGTGGTTCAACTTACTACTTTATGAATGTTGCAAGTTTGAATGATATTATAGTCTAACTCAGCGGTTCCAAAAAGGCTTACTCTATAGTTGCGAGGAAAGGTCAAAGTGGTTCTGTAAGTTAGGACTTTTTTTAAATTTAAACCTGAAATGATTTCTGAAACCTGTAATAGATTTGCATTATTTACTATTTAGTTTACTTTAGGGAAATTATTAAAGTAAAATGCCAATAAAAATGAAATAGCTAATTTTTTAAAATATTTTTTTCCAATAAGAATATATTAAATAAATTACTAAAACCGGTCTAAAGTTTGGGGCTCTAAATGTTAATAATTTTTTTTTGTCATACTGAATAGCATCTAAAATTATATATTTGACCATTTCCGTCCAAATTTTAGATTTTGTCACAAGTTGAAACTTAATTTTGCGAAAATAGTAACAAGTCTTTATGTTTAAACCAATTTTATTTTAAGTTTATCTAAAACTAAATGGCTCTATGTTCTATGAAAAATTCTATGTAAACTCTATGGTAGTTTACGTAAGAGTAAGTCCGACTAAATAACCTTCAAAAATGCGTTCACAAATTACTCTGACGAGAACAAAAACAAAGTGTGTGTAAAATGTTTTCATCTCGCTTAGAAATTTTAAAAAACTATTTAGAACTTAATTTACAACTGGAATTAATTTGAAGCACATAATTGTTTTTCCTATAAATATTTGTATAAAAATTTTTTTATAATAATAGAAAATAATAATAACTAAAATATTTTTTTTCAAAGCTACCTTCAGAAATAAACAGAATAATAATGCGAAAAGCAATAAAAAAATCGATGCAGGAAGCTTTTAAAGTTATTAATGCATTATTATATCATCCTTTTCTTTGTAAGCTTATTTGAAGTAGAATCAATTATGTAATTTTTTGTGCCGAGTTTCATTAGCAAGTAAAATTTGCACAAGTTATTATTAAAACAAAGCTACATTTCAGGATAGAAACTATGTTAATTCTACACAGTTAGCATGTTCTGGTGTATTTTTTGACTTAATTAATATAATCCAAGAAAAAAATTCTTAACAACTAAATATCACGAAATGTATAACTGTTTTCCCCCCATTTAATATGTTAAAAGGTCTTAACGTCATTCTTAGTTATAAACTTCTTCATGTCAAGAACTCCTTTGTTAAAGGAGATCGAGAATAAGAATCTTAAATAATATCCAAACATTATACAACAGTAGAGGCGACTATTTCAAACATTTATTTAAAAAAATAAAAAGGAGAGCGCAATGAATATATCACTTATCAGTTTCTAAGCTTACTTAACTAAGCATGGTATAGTCAAAGCCTTTACTACAATTCATTTAAAATGTTGTTCGTTGATGATGGCAACCCTTTCATCACGTGGCGCCATTTTGGAAGCAGATCAGTTATGAAAAGAACTATTGTTGTGAGATAACTTGTTTCCGCACTTAAGATTTAAATAAACAATTGCATTTGGGGGAGTTGTTTATGCATTCATTTCGAACAGAAGCAACCACCCGAAAGTTTTAAGACATGGAATTCTCTATAAAAGTCACTAAAGAAGAACGCACTCCGCTTGATGAGACGAGGAGGAACGCTGTCTCTTCTTTTGTCTCTCTCAGAAAGCGATTTCGAATTTTCTTTCCCTCCCTTCTCAAGTTAACGAGTTCCATTATTCTGAAGGCAGTTCTCGAATTCGCTTATTAGCATACTTTCTTCAATATGCGTAGAAATTCAATTGTCGAAACATTTAATGCTTATATAATGGCAGACGATAAGTAATGAAAAAATTGAATCGTTTTATTTTCATCTAGAAAAGTTAAAGTTGATAGCAGACGAATAAAAAGTAAATAAATCATAGCTAATGTGCATTTACAAAAATAGAATTATGGATATATTTCTCCAAAGTGCCTTTTTCAGATGCATCTGGAGTATTTGGAAAGAAACATTTTAAATGTTTTTCTGGAATCATAACTAAAGTTTTTATTATTGTGGTAAGAATTTTTAAACTGTTATTAAAGAAAATGTAAGTAATAACTTGTTTTAAGAAAAATTTAAAGTATAAAAAAAATTACATTAGCATTTCCTACATCTGGACTTTAAAGAAATAAATATTTCTGGAATTTTAACAATAGCTCGCTAAATTTAAGAACCGCATGTCTTCCATTGTTTAAAAATATTAATCATCAAATTTTCCTTAACGTTGATGTAAAATTTGATGTCAGAAAATTGTCTTTATATGCTTGTTTTATTTGTCAATATAATTTTCAAACTGAAAATCACAAACAATTCTGAAAACGCATCATTTATAGATTTGTTTGCTTACACTAGAGTTTTTTTTTTCTACAATGAAGTATCATTTCCAATAAAATAAGAAATTTAAAAACTCTTCTGAACGTAAAGAAAATTATACAGCGCTGTTTTGTAATTTTTACAAAATATGAAAACTCATTCAGCAAAACATCTCTCTGTTCCACAGTAAAATAGTCGTTAATGGAGGTTGATAGTTCTTAGGGCAGGGCTCGAAAAAACTCAGAAATTTTAACCGTCCCCGAGGACGGCTTGCCTAACAATGTACCCGTCCTCCTTTGAAACTAACCCGTAGCTTCTAAATAAATAAAAGTATAATTTTCTCTTATTTATTACAAACATTTATATAAATTTCACAATGAATTAGTAGTTACTTGGACTACATTATGCAGTAATAAACGAAATACTAGGTTAATAATAATAACGTAGTATTTCTTTTATGAAATAATTTAAATGACAAAGGTCAAGTTATCTGGAATGTCAATTTATCCGAGGGTACTGCGTTTTTTCAATGAATCAAATATAACGTTTGCCAGTTCTACAATCAAGCTAATGATTTACAGAGGCTTCTGCACAGAAATCTGAAAGAGGTTTTCCATTTAAGTAGATGTTCATAATTACGTTTAACGCTTCTTGTTTAAGACCAGTAAGTAATGTGTATTTTTTTTTCTGTAAGTTCATTGCTGAAAAGTCCCTTTCAAACACTGCAGTACTCCTAGACAGAGAAAACATCAATTCTAATAACAAGAATTGAAAATGTATCACGAAAATTAACGGGAAAATGGCCGTCCGCGCGGACGTCGTATTCGAGAAATTCGTTGTCCGCGGGGAATTTTTGACCGCCGAGGACGGGCGGACGGGCTGTTTTACGAGCCCTGTCTCAGGGTTCCCCTCATTGACTTCAAAATGTAATCGAATATGTATGATTTTTCGCAAACGGTTTTAATTTTAATCGATGTTATTTTTCTGATGCGGAAATGCCTTTTTTTTTAATTAACTTTTAACCTAGCTTAATTAACTTTTTTTTCTAATTTAACTTTCGACTCTAAAAATAAAGCAATGATAGATAGCATCGACTTTAGTGCACTTCGACTGCAGCATAAGGTTGTAGATCTCAGTCAGAGATCGCCGAGAAGAGCTCTCTAAATAAGAACATCACACAAATATTTTGTATACGTTTTAATTTACTTATTTGTTTTGTAATATTTTTTTGTTTTGTTATTTTTTTATTTGTCCTTTTCTGAATTTTGTGATGAGGTTTGCCTAGAGACTGGGAAAGGTTTTGATGGTCTCTCCTGAAGGTTTTCTTCAACACTAAGTCTGAGGAAAAAAATACCGTGCCTCCCAAAAGTGGTCGTAAATAGAGGAGGTCGCTATGTAAAGTTGCTCTTACCTGGAGGTTTCATTGTACCTAAATTTCATGATTCAGTACGGCAACCTAAATCTACGTGTTATGATAGGACTGATGACTTAGTTTATCAGAATAACTCATCAGAGACATCATTTAAAAAAAAAGCTTCATAGTAAAAAAAAAAAAAACATTTTGATTTTTGATTTAATGATCAAATTTTCATGTTCGTTTGAATTGAAAGATTTGGAGCAGCAGTTGGAGTCTGTTATGTTACACTGCTCAAAATTAAAGGTACGTACCCTAGGATCAAATAGTTTGGCGAGAGAGAAAAACGAAAAACATTTGAATACCTCCAAAATAGATATCAAAAATGCCCTAAAAATTTAATATTTTGAAAATGCAGTTTATTATATTGCCT